ATCATGATTTGGAATCTTCTCCAAACTGAGATGAATTAACATGTTTGTGAAGATCAGGATGAAAGGTTAGAAAGAGCAAGTCTGACCCTGAAGTTGCTCAGAGTCAGGGTGCTGGGACTCAGGAGAAGCAGATGCAGAAGAAAAAACAGTCTTGAGCAGGAGACAACAGTTGAGGTAGGGGGGACAAAAAATTGAGAAGAGGAGGTCAGAGGCTGAGAAGATTGAATAGTGTGCCTCACAACTGTGTAGCAGGAGGCAGCACCCGAGGGGATCCAGTGTCCAGAGTGTGAGTCACTGGCTTTGGACTGAGAAAAGAGTCAAATCCAAGTGCAACTTCTTTCATCTGTGTGACCTTGAGTAAGTCACCTGACCTCTACCAATTTCTGCTTGCTAATCCACACACTGATGGAAATACAAACCTCACAGAGCAGTTATACAAGTAAAATTAAGTTGCTTAATAATATCACTTAACCACCAAATGATAATAGCAGGTTCATATATGCAATGCTTCTTCTTGGTTATTAAAAATAAAATGGTTTTTTATTACTTGACTAGGGATCTTAATGTCCTGGGATGAAACAACACACCATAACCAAGATGGGAATTGGTATTTATTGAAAACCTCGGTGCCAGCTGGCCCTATAAGAAAAATGAGATGCAGAATTTTGGAAAGGCAATATTGAAAACAATCTTAAGATCATTTAGCTTAGTATTTCCAAATTGTATTACCATAAAAATCATGAGGTTAAAGGCAGATTCCAGACATCCACTGGAGATAACTAAGCATCTCCAGGGCCCAGGTCTAGAACTGGGGATTCTCAGTAGTACCATGTGATTCTTATGTCACAGTGAAGTTGGTAAACACTGAATGGTTAGTTCAATCTTTCCTAACTGATTGTATCTCTTTAATCTCTCACTGTTCAAGTGCAGTCCTTACAGCGTCAACACTACCAGGGAGAGTGTAGAACTGTAGAAATAGACCCCACGACAGGCTTACACCATAGACATCTACAGCTTAGCAAACTCCAGGTGATTCTTAAGCAAATTCAAATATGAGAAGTTCAAGGTCAATATATTTTCACCTCTTCTTGGACACAATGGCAGGTAAATATCTTCTCTCAGGAAAGACATTTTTACCTCTTGTCATCTCTGAATATTTAAAATATAGGAACCATCACTTCCCCAATGGTGTCAACATCATTGAGAATATTTTAGAACCCGAGTCTCTAATAGTAACAAAACACTGGTTAAAGCTGACAGTTGCAGAATGCTTAGTAAAAATTGGCATTGATTCACTTCTACAATATTATTCCTCAAAACTAAAAGGTGTTTGTGTTTCCTCTTATTTTTAGAAATGATGACTGAAAACAAAATTCACCATCTTAACCTTTTTTGAGTGTGCAGTTTGGTGGTGTTAGCTATATTCACATTATTGTGTAACTGAGCTCCAGATGTTTTCCCTTGGCAAAACTGAAATGCTATACCTATTTCCCTCCCTCCCCAAACTTTGACTGTCTTTGAAGAAATAAGTTGCTCTTAAGAGAGGATGAAGACAGGGTCTGTGAGAAGGCTACCTGAGAGTAAATTGGCCCTAAAATAATTGGAGTAACAAAAGATGTTTCAGGTGTGTATCATTATAAATCAACATCTGCATATACTGCAATTAAGTTCACCACTGAGAGTCCATATATCCCACATCATGCAATTTTCCTATTTTGTCTGAGTTTCTAATCCCATGTCCCCCTCACTTCTGGCAGTCATTAATATGGACTTAGAGGCTTAAAGCTTCATTTTTATTTTATTTAGCTCATTTGTTTCCTTAAGTACATGTATGAGTGAAATCATATGGTGTTTTTCTTTCTCCATCTAACCTGTTTCACGTTAGGTCTGTCCATGTGCTTGCCTGTGACAGGCTTTCTCTTTTTTATAGTCGCACTCCATTGTGCATATATAATACCTCACCTTTATGTCGTCATCTGTGGATGGGGGGCTCTGGGATATTGTAAATAATGCTGTAGTGAGTATGAAAAGGGGAGCATGTATCTCTTTGATTTGCTGTTTCCATATTTTTCAGATAAATACCCAGAACTGAGATAACTGGATCATCTGGTATTTTTAAGTTTTTGAGGTGTCTCCATAGTAATTTTCCTAAGAGTGGAACCAATTGATCATCCCACCAGTAGTGTACAAGGTTTTTTTCTTTCCACAACCTACTCAACACTGTTTATCATTTGAATAATGGCCATTATCCCATGTGTGGTAGCTCATATTTTTAAAAGATTTATTTATGCATATAAGAACTGGGGTACAGGTTAAAGGTGTGGGGGTGAGAGGATTCACTAGACACAGATTGGAGAACAGAATGAGCAGACTGACTGAAATACACTGCTGAGGGGGCAGCGAGTGATCAGGAGAGATCTGCTGTACCACGTGGGTAGCTCCCTTGCTGGGGATCGAACTCATGCTGCAGTGGCTGCAGATAACTTCATAGGTTGTGTCTTAACCACTTGTGCCACTAGTGAGGCCCCTCATGTTGTTTTGACTTGCATTTCCTTAAGAGATGATGTTCATCTTTTCATGTGCCCATAGGATGGTCAACCATTTATCCTCCTTGAAGAAGTGTCAGTTCAGATCCTCTGATTCTTTATTAATCAGACTGTCTTTTGTTGTTAAATTTTACAAGATCTTTATAGATTTTGTATCGTAAATCCTTACCAGCAGATACCTTGATTGCAGCCTTGTGAGATCCTACTTTGTGTGTTGTATGTCATTTTAAGGTGTGCGGTGATTGGTTGTGTAGATATAGAGATCAGATACATCTTTGCAGTAATACTTAGGAATTAGAAAATTATCCAGTTCTGCAACAAAGTTTTATCCCATGTTTTCTGTTGTTTCCTTTATATAATTACAAAAAAGTTTGTTCCACATTCTAAATTGCCAATTTTTGTAGTATGGAACTTCTCCAATGTGGTAAATGGGATTTTGCCCTTTTAATTTTATTATGGACATGTGTTTTCAGTTAATAAAATATTAGTGCAAATAATTACAGCCATTTTTATTTCACTTAGATTATGAAACATCCTATCCATTTAATTTTAATGTTTATTTTAAGAACCCGTGTCTGTTCACTTAAGTTATACATGAGATCATAGTTCTTATATGACAGACTATTCCTGTGAGGAAGGATGTTAGTATTTTGTTATTTTGAAATCCCAAGATTCTGGGATCTATTTGAAGTTACAGACATCTTCTAATTGTGGGCATATTTTTAGACGCAGAAACAAATCTTGCTACTTCGTGTTATTAATGTAATTATTACTATTAACTTTTGGAAACCCATGAATAATTGTGATCAAATCATCTGGAGCAAATCTGGTCAAGTGGGTTACTTTAAACGAGTGGTGTTTACAGCAAACACACAGCTATCCAGTCTGGAAAGCATTATTTCACTTTAAAACACACACTAAGAAGATGAAGATTAGTTATTATAGCACTCAGCTTTCCATGTTTTCACCTTTTATGAAAGTTTCATGCTGAGTCTTAGTTCTGCCCTGTATGTGAGTGCAGGTACAGGTATGCAGGATGGTCTTCCTTGGATTTCTTAAAATACAGTCCTAAAAAATGTACTCTCCTCTGCTCTTATATGCAAGGCCTGTGGGTATTGTCCATGCAACTGCCCCAGGCTGGAAAAGGAGAAATGACTTGCCTGAGAAGTTGAAAACTTGGTGTAGAAAACATTATAAACATTAATGGTCAAACACAGTAGGCAGTTCTCCACCAGACACAATGACGGTATGTATTGAAAACTTAGTCTTTCCTACAGTTATCTGTGAAATGCTATCACTTCTAGTTTCAGTGGCTATAGGAACTAAGCACTCAGGGAAGCTCAGAAGAGAGGAGGTTGTTCTAACAGAAACTGAGAAGTGCTTATAGCAGAGAGAAAACACGCACACACACACCATCACTGCACAGTGTAAAGTCACTGAAGAAATGAAAAGGAAGATTCCTGTGAAATTCAAGACATTGTGCTTTTTTTTTTCTTAAGAAAAAGGAGATTTGGAAATCCACAGAGTTCAGTGATGCCTCATTGTTGCTTAATGCATCTAAGTGAGAGAGAAATGGCAGAAATAGTGTCCAAAATTCTCCTGGACTGTCACCCAGGGAATCAGAGCTCCAGCCTTAAGTTGCCATCTCTAGTTTCTTCATAGAACCCCTTTTTCTTCTCTTCCACTGTCAGCTTTCAATTTTCTACATGGAAATTATGTTGCTTATCTGTCAAAATAGTAAAAATTACACACATAGAATAGAATAATAAAATATTGAAGGTAGAAGTGGTCTAATAACTATTGGCCCCCATTGGAGTTTAATAAAATAATGGGGAAACAGGTTAAATTTCTTTTGTAGAAGTGAGTTAAATTATATTCTCCATTGCCCACATACCCACACAGGAGTTTGTACCTTATATCCACAAAGACATATGTTCTTTCTAATTTTACTTGAAATATATGGTTACTAAGTCCTTGGGTTTGCCTTCTTTGAACAGAGTCCTGGGACAGGAGACAAAGCACTGTCTTCTATGTTAAATGACCACTGGCTTGTCATCTTAATGTCCACGGTGCAACACACCTGAGGCTATGCTGAACAGAGAATATAGGAATCTTAGGGGAGCAGCCTCATTTCCAATCACCAAAATGTCACATAGGATATGATTTTTTTAAGGTGAAGCCAGAAATTCAGAAATGAATATGAAAACAACAGGTTTTAAAATGTTGACTATTAATCTCAGTTTTTAAAGGCACCTAATAATAATCCAGTACTGCACAAACTGGGTCCTCTGCAAGGGCAACTCACTAGCAATATGGTTGATTTTGCAGGTCCCTTTCCTATTTCTGAAACTTAAATGTCCTAAAGTCAGTTCACGATAAAACCTAGAATAGCACTGTCTTCCCCAAACTCTGTGTACAGAAGCAAAGACAACAAAGACAAACAGTTCCCTCCCCTCAAAAGAAACTGTAAAATGTTACCCCTAGGGCTCTAAATCTTGCTCTATGATTTGCTTTTACATTTCTTTATTCTGAGAAATAATATGGTCTATCATAGAGCAAAGCTTTTATTTGGTTTTTAAACTAATGGTGGTTAAAAAATAATAGTGCAACTTTAAGACATGTATTACATGTTGAAAAACTCATAAATTCGCCATAACAGAGAACCTAGTCAATAGAAATAAATCTCAAAATTGAAATGTGCATACTCTCCTTTTGGAAAGGGTGGGTGCATGAAAGGACAGTCCTCTCCCCAAATCCTTCATTCCCTTTCACTTCAGTTTTGGGTTCCTCATTTTCATAGGCAGAAGTAATCTTGGATGTCCACAAGAAGGCTTCCAGTCATTTTAAATTCTCCCCAGTCCATGGATTCTTCATGATGGGGTGTATTAGGTGAGGAGTCCCAAATACAATCCACAAGAAAGGCTGGTAGTCATCAATCATTTGAGTTTCCCTCATCTTTTCACATGGCTCAAAGGACACACAGCAAATTTTCTGCCTCTTCCCAACTTATTGCACTGTGTATAGTTTACAGTTTATTTCCATCTAGAGCTTGGCTTAAATAAAAATTAAAAAATATGCAATAAAAAGCATACATAATGCATTTATAGATTATATATATATTATATATATGTTTTCCTATTGTCTATGTCAGCGTTTTGGTTTTTTTTTAGATTTTTGGATTTTCCTTAGAAAATCACATATTTCTCAATTATCAGTATATGTTGTGTTGGTGGTGGTGGTGGAGGATATTTGAGAAAATGATGTTCCTTTTTGACTTACCATACATGATGTATGATGCTGCACACACTTAGAGACTTCCTGGAAGTTAAGATACATGGAAAAGACAATAGAAAAAAATGAAATTGTACAAGGCAAATTTTGACATTTCGATACAGCTTTTGGAAACCATCTTTGGAGAACTGTTGTGCCACACTCCGCCCATCCACCAACAGGGATGAACATGGGCAGCTGCTTCTATGGGCCATAAGTGGATAGCTGACCCAAGCTGAAACAGTTAGAACTGTCCCCTTTGACATTTGAATTGTGCCTCAACAATTGTACATACTTGGAGTTGTGGATATCATCATGACCACAGGCAGAGTGAAAAATGAAGCAGACATGCACAGGGAAGCAGAGACTAGTGATCTAATGATGAGACCATGAGGCTTCAGGATTGCTTCCTAAAATCTTTCCCATTCCTTATTATAGTCTTTTGCTAAGCTCTACAGTATTCCTTGCCCTTGGACTTTGTGAGATGGTCACTTTATCTTAAACACATAAGTACACACATCTTTTTATTTGCTTAAATTTCTTTGAAAACAGTTCTCAGCTTTCAATAAGTAGGCAGGAGTTGAATGTTACCTTTTATTTTTTTTAGATTATGGAAATGTAGAATATAGTTGTGAGAGTCAAAACTGGGTTTTAAAATTTTTAGGACCTTGGTCTTAAAAAAAAAACAAAAAACAGAAATGAGTTTGTCAATAAGAAGTGAATATAGCTGGGAAAGAAAATGACATTTATCCAACATTTATCCGGTGATTTGTGGTTTTTCAGAAAGTCTCCCTTATTCTTTTTTCTAACCCATAGGGTTCAAGGTAATTATCATGAATAGAATGCCATGACTCAGGGATGCTGGGTGAAACTTATCACATCATAGGTGTCTATAGGGCCCAACACAGAATGGTGACCACACACTAAGCAATTGAATAGTACTCTGCGTAGTTACCTGCATTGTTGCTTTTTCCAGGGTGAGTGATAGGATGATGATACTCAAAACTTGTATTTACTGGAAATGTCAGGTGAGTGCGAGCCCTAGATTGGTGATAAAGGGGAAAAAAGATCCTTCATATAGATATATTTGTAAACCAATAGCTAATTAAAAAGTAAATAGTAAATAAAATGGAAACTATAGAAACTTGGCGACTACATTTATTTGGGGCAAGGTTATATGTGAAGAAAGCAAGTTTTGTAGTCACAAAAAGATAAGAAAACATATATGGAAGTGTAGGTTAAGTGCTAAATAAGCAATAGAATTAGAGGGAGACAGAAAAAAAACCCTACTTCAGAAACAGATATATCTTTTGATGTGTGTAAGTGTAAATTTAGGTCTGCCCAGCAAAACTTTTCAGAATGATTAAACCTCTCCCTGGCATTTGCTTAGATCTCTCCTTAAGCAGAGTTGGCAATGAATGTTTGCTTTTGCTTAGCATCCAAGTTCACTCACTTAATTTACCTTCATTTTACAAGGAACAAATAAACATCTGCGTACATGGCAGAGTGAGGAAGGTCCTTTTCTGCCTATGTGGCATTGGCTCTGGGGATCCATGTAAGATTAGTGGAAGCATCCTTCTTGATGCATGGACTCCCATGTGAGTCAACCAGGATTCATGCATCTATCTAGAAACAAGAGAAGAGTGTGGAAAATGGCTGGTTATGTTTGGAGACCATTGCATGTATGGTAGGTACTTAAGCATTTTGTGAGAGTGGGTTTAATCCAGAAATAATAGGAAAAACAGATGGGAAGAAAATAATATAACAAAATAAAAATTGCAAAAAAAGGAATAAGTAAGGGAATATTAAAATGATCTGTATTATCTTCCCAATGGGAAACAAACTGAGAGCCCAGGAGTCTGAATTAATGATCCCCCCCATACTCACACAAAATTAAAAATCTCCCTAAGAACTCAGGGTGTATGTGTGTTATTGTCTGCATGCATTCTTTCCTTTGAAACATGACTTACCCACAATATTGCAAGGGCTTTTCTCATGGAAGACAAGGTTATTTTTAGGAAGAATACAAGGTTATTTTTAGGAAGAATGAGCTAGCTCATCAGGCTAGCTAGATTCAACTTAGAATGATGGAAAATGCAGTGAGAAAACCTATGTTTCCTGAGCAAGCACAACATTATCCAACATGATAGTTTGATCTGGAAACTTTGAAGGTATTTTTCTAAAACCAAACTCTTTATATGTTTGAATAGGAGATATTAATGGGTACTGGGAAAATAAAGTTAAGTGAAAATTTTATTAACATAAGAGTTCCATTGGGCATAGTGGTAAAGACTGACAATAAAACATCTCTCAGTTAGAATAACCTCTGCTTCATGACTTATGATACTTTACACTTATTAAATTAATCACATTTTGATATATATATGTGTGTGTATGTATCCATCAATCTATATACAATGTATACATACACATACATATGCATATATATATGTATATCTATGTATACACATGCAAGAAAGGAATATCTGGTGAGAGCATAATGTATATTTTTAATAGTGTCTCTTTTAAGTTATTCAGGAAATAGTGTCTGTAGACTAATTATTAGTCTACTACTAATAGTAGACTAATTATTCCTATATAAAAAGTAAAACAATTAAGCTATTAGAACTTAAATAATTTCATAATAAATTTTGGTGTCCAGATTCAAACTCACAGTTGTTCATTCCTACTTCTGTGCATGGTCCTGCATTTTCATTGACATCTAGAGGCAAGCAACTTATATATTTTTCAATTTAAATGAACTACTATGCTGAGTAGATGCTCAATAATCTTATTAAGTTGACTGTAGTGAACATATAGCAATCTGATTTGTCATTTTGCAAACTGAACACTCAAATAATAATCTTTACAAGCTTTATTCAAATTTTAATGTAGCAATAAACTTCATGTTAATATCAACTCACTTTTGGAAATCCGTGAAAGTTTACAAGACAAATAATTATTGAAAACTTCTTACTTCTTGCTTCAAGAATGGATAGGATTTCTCTATAGATAGGTAGAATAGGCATTATCTGCTTCTTAGTCATTTTGATGAGTTCTCAAATATCTGTATCTCAAATTTTCTTCAGATGTGACACAAGCATATGGCTAAAATTTCCACTATTAAAGCTAAAGCCTAATTATAATCTTTGAAAGACTTCAACTGAATTGCTCATCTGCACTAAGGATAAATAAAAAAATAAATCTCCATTTTGTAGTAAACACACACACACATGCACACACACCCCAAAAGAAAATTTACCCTAAAGAAAATCCAGAGATCAATGGAACTCATCATGCAGATTTGAAGGGGGCATATGAAGGGCTAGACACCGGAATCCTGCCAAGCTCATAATGTTGTCCAAGACTGGTTCTGAATGAGAAGAATATTTACCATGTCTGAATGATGTAACTAAGAAGAATCTAAGTCAGTGTGACTTTAATGTAAATGGCATTCTTCACTGCCTATGTAATGCTGTCAGAGTGCTAGACTGGTCAGCTCTCCAGCGCCAGAAGACCTCTCCTGACTCATCTTTGGGCAGGGGTTCATTAGGAAATAAGAATCTGTTGATTAATAAGACAGGGACCCTAAAACTTTTAGCATTTTCAAGTCTGATGAACAATAGATCCTAGCAAAGATCCTAACAAAATAAAAACCATGAAAGAGAGTAGTAGTAGAGAAAAAAAGGAAGAGAAGATGGTTCCTGACTTTTAAAATTTAACAATGTAATTATGAGAGGGAAGGAGGGAAAGAGGGAGAGAGAGATAGGAGGATGTGAATTAGAGGTGTGAAAAATATTAGGACAGCACTTTAAAGTTACAAAGTTCTTTTATGTTTCTTCATTTGACCTTCATAAGAAGTTCAAGAGAAAAATATTGCTATGGCCGAAAACCAGACCTGGAGAAATTAAGTTACCCAAAGACAAACAGCTAGAAAGTGACAGTTTAAAATAAAAATTCTTCTTCTGGGTCCACATCTCTTGTTTTCAGAGGGGGTATGTACTCTGCTGCTTGAGAATTTAGAACATTCTATAATTTAAGCGCACATTATGTCATAGGGGCACAGAAATGATTGGAGTAGTCGGGGATGGCTTCTTAGGAAACGTGAGATTGGAGGTGAATTGTACAGAAATGAGGGGTAGAGGTTGACAGTGCAGTTTTGAAGACAGACTACCTGAGTGTGAACTTCACCCCTGCCACTTTCAGTTGTGTGTATTTTGCAAGTTAATTAACTTCTTTGTATTTTAGATTTCTCATCTGTAAAATGTGGATGACTATTGTGAACATAAATAGATTTCTCATCTATAAAATGTGGATGACTATTGTGAACATAAATAGATTAAGCTTTGTAAATCGTCTAGAACAGTCGCTGGCAAACATTCACACTCAATAAATGCGTTAATATGTTAATATCTAAGGGTGAGAGTCAGCTCCAGGTGGGAAGTCATTTAGTTTTTATTGAGAGATCCAGGAAGGCTAGACAAGCACTGTCCATGGTACTGAAATTAATTTAGACTCTGCTGGCAAATCATAGAACAATACAGACATGACTGTCACTACTTGAACCTGCTGATCAATCTTCGTATCACTAATAGTGAGACAGGCATTATATGCTTCCTGGTGTGAGGCAATTTAAACTATGCAGCACCACCTGTGAAGGTTTTGTGCCAAAATTGCTTAACCTGAATCCAATGAGGACTTAAGATATAATTTACAGTCTATGGTCTATGCAGGAAACACAGGGGATAGATGGACAAGTAAATGACACTATGAGGAAATAAGCAGCCAAATTTAGAATGTGGAATATTGTTCAAGACAATTAACCCAGTTAATTCATAATATTAAAAATGTAGAAAAAAAGAAAAAGGAAACAGGAACTATTTTAGATTAAGAGATAAGGAAAAGGAACTTGAGACACAACTAAATGTAAGAATGAACCTTTCCGGGCCTCCCCGGTGGCGCAGCGGTTGAGCGCTGGTTGCGAAACTGCCCGCAGCCTCTGTAGCACCGGTTCGATCCCCGGCTGCTACCGGAGGAGGGTCCGCATGGCGCGCAGACCTCTCCTGCCGCCCGCTGCTCCCTCAGCAGTGTACTTCGGTCCTTCTGCCTGCTCTGCTTCCCGCTCTGGCTCTGGTGAATTCTCTCACTCTCTTGCACTTCTGACTGTACCCAGTGCTTGTATAAATAAATAAATAAAATAAAAATAAATAAGTAAATCTTTAAGAATGAACCTTTCCTTTACAGACCAATTGAGCAAACCACTTGTAAAAACACATTTTGTATGTAATTATGGACATATATAGGTATAGTTTTATATATAGAGATATATATTTTAATATAGTGCCTGTTATTAGGTTGGAAAATTGCCTTTTAGTTATATAAGAAAAGCTTTCTACTTTGTAAAGGGGAGTTTTGGATAAATCTTAAAATTTTACCCAAGAGACTAAATTGATAAAAGTAAAACTGAGTGATATCAGATTTGAGAAGCAGGTGGAACGATTTAAAATTAAGCTTCTATTCTCATCTCCTCAGGACCCTAAAGGAGCCCACACTGAGAGTCCTGGGCATAGATAGAAGCTCGTATATTTTCTGTGACCTCATTTTATTTGAAAATCTTAAATGCTTTGTCTGCAGAGAGGAGCTTATCTCAATGCAGGAGCCTGAAGAAAGATTTTTAAAAATGAGAGAAAGACCAGAGGTGGCAGGAGGAATGAGAAAAAATGAGGAGAAGTGAGAACCAAAAATAAAATACCACATGGATATGGAGTGAAATGGGAGGAGGAGTGGGAAAATAAGGGTACAGATATGAGAAATAGAGGCCATCATGAAAGTAAAGAAAGAGTCTGTTGGCTTCTAAATACAAATCTTTAACACTATTTTTCAGGCATAGAAAAACAGACCAAAAAAAAAAAAAAGAAAAGAAAAAAAGAAAAAGAAGTAACATGAAGACGTTCAAGAAGATTATAGGCAAATGACAGGGAAAGTTCTAGGTGTCTTATTTAACATAATACCATGAAGTGTATTGCAATATGGAAACTGAGGCACAAGACAGGTAAACAATGTGCTACTGTTACATAGGTAATAAGTGGAAGTCTAGGATTCAACCCAAGTGGTCTTGGTTGAGAAGATGCACCCCAGATCACACTACCAAAGGGTCTCTTGGATATAATTCTTACTAGACTAAAGAAAAGAGCCATCTAATCTAGCCATTCCACTTTGGGGTATATATTTAAAAGGATTGAAATCAGGGTCTCAAAGAATTATCTGTCCACCCATGTTTATAGCAGTGTTATTTGCAGGATCCATAAGGTGGAAGCAAAACAAATGTCATTGAGGAATGAATGGATGCACAAAATGTGCAATTGACGTAAGGGGAAATATTAATCTGCCTTAAAAAGGAAGGAAATTCGGACATGTGCTACAATGTGGATACACCTTGATGATATATGCCAAGTGAGAGGAGGAAGTCAAAAAAAGGATGAAAAGTGGATAATTCTACCTAAATGAGATAGTTAGTTAAATTCATATAATGGTGGTTTCCAGGGACTTAGAGGGAAGGGGTAATGGGAGTTATTGTTTAATGGATAGAGTTTAAGGTTTACAAAGATGAAAGAGTTCAGAGATTGGATAATGGTGAGGGTAGCACAGAAATGTGAATGGACTTAATGCCATTGATTTGCACATTTAAAAATGGTTTATATGATAAATTTGTTACATATATTATAGTGACAATTAAAAACATGAAGTGAAACTAGTAACAAGAAAGATGTTACCACTCCAAAAGTGGTTACATTTCAACCATCAAATCAGAGTCAACTGCAAGGATTCCAGCTTTGTCTTGATATCTTACTTTGCCTGCATTCTATTGCATTACAGAAAGAAAGATTATATGTTGAAAGAACTAATGAAAACAGTTCAACATTGTATGTTACATCTGTGTTCAGTCATCCCTATCAGGACAGCTGCGATGATACCTTTAAAAAAAAAAAGCTTTGACACATGTTAATTATCAAAGATTAACATATGAAATCTATGCAATATTATAATGTTACTTTAGGAAAACAGCTATGGTAAGTTATTTTCAAAAATTAAAATTTTTAGTATGTTCTTTGGCATGTGAAGGAACACATGCACCCTCACACAATTGCATGTTGCATGCTTTCCAAACTCCTATTTATCCCTCAAAATCCAGCTCAGAAGCTTCCAAATCTTTTCTGAAAAATCAGAAACCTTCATGTTTACTTCCCCATCAAGGCAATCTCAACCTGCATCTGCTAATACTGTACTCATAATCTCCATTTTAGCTTGTTTATTGATATATTTGATTGAATAATTGTGATCTCAGCTTTTTCAGAGTAGGAAGTCTTTCATTTCTATTACCTCTAATTTAGAATATTACTATACCTGATAGAATTTGTGTTCACCATGTAATTGATGAATAAACAAAGAAAAAGAATTCCAAGACCATGCACGGAGTATCTCTTTAGTGTCTGACATTCATACTCCTTAAAAGACTCTTGTCTCTTGTATCAACCCATCAGTGTCAGTTGAAATTGTCTGTGACATCTAATAAACCCAACATCCTGCCCTGTGCGCACAGAGTGCTGCCTTCAAATATGTAAAAATGTCACGAAAGACAGCTTGCCCTTCTGGAAGAGGGTGATTAAGTGCATAATTAAAAATTGATGCAATTTTCTTTGATGCAACAGTATTTTTTGGTTTCGCTTCCTGCAGCATATAAATGGAGATGAACACAGAAAGTGGCCTGGTTCCCAGGTGTTGGCACCCTCTGCCCTTCTTCCCTGCTCTGGAGGGAACAGAGATTTGAGTTTCCATTTCTCCACTTTCAGAAAGAACCATGCAGCTATTGGTTTGCAAAATCTCTGCTCAAATACAACCTGTATTCATTCTGTGCCTGCGTCGTGGGATAGGAGTTTTCTTAAGCTCGGGTTATGATATTTGCAAGCCACGTAGAGATGGGCAAACTTCAAAATGGGCAAGGTAGAAAAACACATGTTTTCTATCCAAGTTGTCTTAGTTGTTTATGTTTCTATAATTTGAAACTGGAAAATCACATGTTGAGAATACCAATAATGTAAGAATGTAGTAAAGGAAAATTATTTACATGTAGATTTGTTGTTATTGTTCAATCATGCTCCTTTCACTGGCCTCTGTTTTCTTCAATTTCCAATTTTACCTACCAGGTTCTTTTTACAAAGGAGACTTTATTTTTTCATTCTTGAATGATATGGCTGGGTAATAGAGAGGCAGAGGTGTGGAAAATAAGTGATGGGGGAAGAAATGATATACAAGTGATACTGAAATCAATTAGAGAGACTTGGTCTTATTCTTAGTGGTTCATTCATTGTCATGATGGC